CTTCATGGCCAATACTCCTGCCCGTACCAAACAAGATGACGTAGACAAACCTCGTGCCCATCAAACCTCGTGGCTACGTAGTGTGGGGTTAAAGCATGCCCCTTCTGCAGCAGCAAAGAATCTAAAAAGTAAGCAAAAGCAAATGCAGTGTAAAATGCTGAGGCGATGGCAAAATAAGCCTCTTCATGGCCAATACTCCTGCCCGTACCAAACAAGATGACGTAGACAAACCTCGTGCCCATCAAACCTCGTGGCTACGTAGTGTTGGGTTAAAAATTTTGTGGAACCAATTCTTGCTAACTGGAAATTACCAAGCGCACAGGCTGAAAAATTGTGTTGCTCCTAAATTGCATATTCTGTGATAAATATCCAGAAACAATTGACCATCTTGTATCAGGTTTCACGGTGTTAGCACCAACTGAATATAAAAGTCGGCACGATAGAGCGGTCCAATATCTGCACTGGGAAATATGCCACCTTTATGGGAAGGAAACTGCAAAAAAAAAAGGCGTATGAATATCATCCAGACCCAGTTACAGAGACTTTATAAAACACACTGACAGAACAATCAAAACTTATAGCCTAGACATCTTGATCAAAGATCACAAAAAACATAATATGCTTTCTTATTGATATGCCAGTCTCTGCAGATTGTAATATATCTTTGAAGATCTTGAAAAAACTATAAAAATACAAGGATCTTGAAGTATAAATCTAAAAAATGTGGCAGGTGAGATCATCAATAATTTCAGTTGTAATTGGAGCCCTCGGATTGACTGGAAAAACAATTCTATCTTTTTTTTTTCACCGAAACCAAGTAGTGTCTCTAATACGTCTTTTTTCTTTCCAAGCAATCAAAACGGAATTTCCCATTAATTATGAGTTATTGTCAGGGCGTAACGGTCGTGCAGACTATGGAATTAACAAAGGGAGGGACAAACACAATAATAATAATAATAATAATAATAATAATAATAATAATAATAATCTAAGATCGCTATGAAAGTTTTAGTCGTAAAGATAAACTGACGGGAGGAAAATGACATTTATATATTTGCCTAAATGGACAGTGAATTCTCACTGAAATGGCTCGCGTAATATGGAAGCTTTTATCTGATTGTTGGCTTCTCATAAAAGGAAATATCTTATGTTTCTTCGTTGTTATCAAGCGGAAATGAAAGAAAAATGTTTATTCAGTCGATGGCAGGCATAGTTACCTTTGTTTCACACTTTAAACGACGAGGAAAAAATTGATGAGAATGTAACGTAAGAAAACGAGAAAAAACGAGGAAACCTCGCTTTCACACACACTCATTCACTCCTTTAATCACTTGCTCACCCACTCACTCACTCACTCACTCACTCACTCACTGACACTTTTACACACTTACACTGGCTTACGTGTTCCCCCATTCGTTTCGTCAGCGCTTACTTATTTGCTCGCCCACTCACTCAATCGCCCGCTTACCGACACACTCACTCACTCACTCACTCGCTCACTCACTCACTCACTATTTCACTCTGGCTTATTTGATCTGTCATGTAGTCACTTTCGCTAGCTTGCTCGATCACTCAAACACGCTGACTCACTTTTGATAGGTTACTCATTCGCTAGCACGCTCACTCACATACTCATCCATACACTCAATCACACATTAATTCAATCACTTTCACTTTAGTTTACTCACATCCTCAATCACTCAGTCAGACAATTAGTCAATCAATCAATCACTAACGCACTTACTCACTCTTGTTCACTCACTCACTCACTCACTGATTTACTTACTCACTCATTCCCTCATTTTCACTATCTTACTGATATCTTCACTCTTTCTTACCCAATCGCTCATTCGCTCTGGTTTACTTGCTGCCTTCTTCACTCACTTTCGCTAGCTTACTCATATCCTCACCCCTTCACTCACTCACTCTCGCTAATTTACTCGCTTACTCTTGAACACTCCCGCTCATTCACTCACTTGCTCACTCTCGCTAACTTGCTCAATCATTCACACACATTCGCTAGCTTACTCATATCCTCACTTACTCTCACTACCTTGCTCACTCTTGTTCACCCACTCTCTCACTCACTCATTCACTCACTCCCGCTTTCTTGCTCATTCATTGAATGACTCTCGATTGCTGACTCTTTGTCACTCACTAACACTGACTTTCTCCCTCACTCCCTCACTCCCTCACTTTCGTTAGATAATCACATCCCAACTCTTACTCACTCATTCTCACTACTTTGCTCACTTGCTTACTCTCGCTCCCTCACTTAATCACACTGGCTTACTCTTTCTCTCATTCACTCACTTTCGCTGGATTACTCACTGCTAATTCACACTCACACTCCACTTCTCTCATTCATAAATTCACTGACTGCCCATTTGTTTCATTCATAAAAGATCTATTTCATAATATATAAATATCACCGTTTTTGGGGAGTTTGTCGGAAATACTTATTGTTTCAATATTTAGACAATAATTAAAGCGTGAATATTTTGTACCGCAAGTATTTGCAGATTTATTTAATTTTAAGGCTGATATTTCTTGTTTAATGTGTCGTTGTTCCTTCAGGAAATGGCCGATCGTTGTCCTGAAACACAACTATCTATTCTTTGTTAGTTTAAGCAATGTTGATTAACTTACTACTCCTTCCAAATGCCTTTTCTTTCATCCATTTACACAGGCTTGTTAGGTTATTCGCCGTTTCTTTCTACCCTAGGTTACCTTCAGTATGGCCTATGTGTGTCAAATTATCCGGAAATACTAACACTCTTTCCGATTCGAAGTGTTAGCATCCATTTTGTTTGCGTTTTCCTTAAAATTTTCTTCTTACTCATGTGTTATCTTTATGATATTCTCAGCACCTTTCTCCAGAACTACGTCTCTATTGCCTCTCAGGCTTACGGCGAGATCACGTTGTATTACCGTACGATCACCAAAGTTAAGCAACGTCGAGCCTGGTCATTACCTAGATGAGCGACCGCTTGGAAATAGCAGGTGCTGCGAACTTGGATGTGCGTATAGTACAATGAGATAATGACTCGGAAGTCATTATCTAACGGAGAACCGATTGCGTTCGATATCTTCATTCACGTGTAAATATCATTTTGAAAAGTATGAATCTATCTCTTCTTGACCCCCAGTTATGGGTTAATTTGTAATACTTGTATCAGTAAACCGTGCTTATTTCATCCACTAAAATTCTTACAATATAAAAAAATATATTCTGGTTTTAAATAACCTGCAACGGGTTGGTAATCCGTAGAAACCGAATCGATCAATCAATATATTGCCTCAAGTCTTCTCTTCATCCATTAGGAAATTGTTCAGCATTCACGGGTATCACAACTCATTTTGGTTTTCTTTTCGTAATATTTTAGCTTTTGGAAGGCAACGTTTACTATTCTAGTAGTCTTTTTTTTATTTTAGTTTCACCTCTGTTAAAACACTACAATTATAGTTAAATTTATGTAATTTCCGGAATCTGGCATCTCGAAATTTTTGCTCACATCTCCCGCTGTCGCTTTTTTTAATATCAATTTATTCTGCCCACTTACAATTGAGGATAGTCTTTTTTTGTTCCTGGTTTCCTTTACGACATTGTCTACGTGTTTCTGCTTTTTATTTACTCTCTCTAGCACATGGTAGCATATGCGTATCTTATATATTCAATGTCAAATCCTGGTTGAACTTCTATTATGGCTTCTACTGTCCTTAGAATCGCTTCGCGTTTAAGAATAAATAAATCTGGTAAGAAAGCGCATCCTTGTCTCAAACCACTTGTACTTGCGCTTGCTTGAGTGCTTTTCATACAGAAGAAAAAGCTGTAGATAATATCTGCTTATATCATCGTGTAAAAGAAAGAATGTTTTTTTTGTGGGTAGTCCTAACATGTATAGTTTCAAGCTGTTCAAGAATAGGAGGGTACTGAGGTATATTTAGGTAAACTTAGGTATGTTCACCTGCTACCGACGAACGTCACCGGTCTGTTGTTAAATATTTTTTACAGTACTTGCAATAATAATAATAATAACCATTTATTATTGACATGATAGTTCCTGCAGAGTGTAATGTATCTCTGAAGATCTTAAAATAAACGGATTTTGAAGTAGAAATGTCAAAAATGTGGCACATGAAGACATCAGTATTTTCCAGTTGTAGTTGGAGTCTTCGGATTGGTTAGAAAATATTTCAATAGTCTCATTGATTCCTGGCAGTCCATGCCTTAAATAATATATATAAATATATATATATATATATATATATATATATATATATATATATATATATATATATATATATATATATATATATATCTACAAATGCAACCGACGTGCTGAGAATTACTTGATCTATGTAAAATCTGTGTGACCTTAGCTTTCTTGTTTTTTACAAAAATGATTATGAAACAATTTCTTACCGTTGTCACTGTTTGGGACCCAGTAGGAAATGTGTATACAACATAAATCAAAAGAAATAATAATAAATTATCCAAATGCAAGGACTTGGAGATCGAGAGTAACAAGCAGTGGGGAATGAAGACTGAGACAATAATAATCGGATCTTTGGGCCTCGTTAGAAAAGAAATGTACAATTTTACTAACAGTGTCCCCAGTAACGTCAACATACAAGTTGCCCAGAAGATCGCCCCACTAGGAACATCCCATATACTAAGAAAATTACCATCAGTTAAATGATAATTCTCTTATAGGGACTAACGACCATAGATTGGACCCGACTGTACAAGATACAAAGCTGGAAACATAACATACACAAATAATAATAATGTTTGCTAAATAATCTTATTAGGTTGAAATAATTGTTTGGGGTAAAATTATAGTTTACACTATATTGAGCTTCGTGAATAAAACTAACCATGTGGAGGACTTCACCCATCATATAATCTGAAGAACAATTTTTAGCCAACTTAGCCGAAAATATGTCAAAATCTGTAACAAACTATGAAATATCTACACAAAAGGCATGACGTCAAAATGTGTAGCAGTGCAGCTATGATAGCGACGGTTCACCTTGTGCCATATTTAGTTAGCTTATACCATAGCGGTAGAATTTGATAAAGCGTTCTATAGGAATTTAATCACTCAGGTCATTGCAAGCTGGTTCGAACCCTACTTGTGGTATGCTATTTTTGCCCTGTGCTAAGCGGAAATTCTTTTAGCAAATAAAACATTTATATCGTAGAGCGAAAATTAACAGGTTAATCTAGCAGACCATTTGTCTGTGCATTATATATTAGTGCCATATCTGGTCCGGTGCACCTGCTATATCATCATCATCCTTCGACCTCTATATGGTTGGTCGAAACTTCATTGAAAATCCCTTTCCACACTGTTAGGTCCTGTACTGCTCTCCCCAAATACCCAAGGTCAAACCCTGAGTCCTGAGCTATGGTGTCTGGAAAAGTAAATTTTCGTGAGAAGAATTGCCTAGAAAGATACCATAGGAATAAGGATGAGACGATTTCCCTGTCCGCTAGGAAACGCTTCGGGGGTAAACACTTAGGAAACAATTCCGGAGTTGGAGTCTCTAAGACAGTCCGCGGAAATTAAAATTCCAAGTTGGTGTCTGGCGCGGGATAATTTACTTCATGGCTTGAAAGAAGTTTTTAACCTTGGGTGACAGTGTTTCTAGGGATGGTGTCTCGAAGAAAACACCCGGATGTAGGGTTGGCGTTCCACATTTTGTATCAGCTACCGAAAGAACTATCCTCGAGATTCACTCTAAAATCCAAAGAAGTCTCTAATGTTATCGATCCAGACGTAAAATCTCGACTTCGGGACGTGGTTTCCTTACTCTCTTTTATATAAATATTTTCATGGAAATTGTTCTAATGCTCTTTCCTTGTTACCTCAATCGCATGAAATTAAAGCTACGACTAGATTGGCGGATAGTTCTTATCATTTTACCATTTAATTATCTAGAGGCCACCGTTCTAATCTTTTAGTTTCTTTTCTCACACTTTTCGCCTGTTGAAATCTCTTTTGGTTTCATTCTTCTCTGCCATCCAGAATCTTCAAAATTGAAACATCATAAATCGCCATCTTCCGGATTTCGCTAATTATCTATCTATCTATCTATCTATCTATCTATCTATCTATCTATCTATCTATCTATCTATTTATCTACCCCAGTCTGTTCATTATCTATCTATCTATCTATCTATCTATCTATCTATCTATCTATCTATCTATCTATCTATCTATCTATCTATCGCAGTCTGTTCATTATCTATCTATCTATCTATCTATCTATCTATCTATCTATCTATCTATCTATCTATCTATCTACCCCAGTCTGTTCATTATCTATCTATCTATCTATCTATCTATCTATCTATCTATTAAAAAGGTGCAAAAATAATGACGTAATAATGTCGTTTTTGACGTTAAAAAACACCAAAAACGACATTATTACGTCATTATTTTGCATTCTATCATTCATCTATCTATCTATCTATCACAATTCATTCGCATCTATCTATCTATCTATCTATCTATCTATCTATCTATCATAATCATTTCACCCAAAGCAAGGCAATAGAACCACTAAGACACAAGAGAACACTGAGTGTGAAAGAATAAGAAAAAATCATTAAGGAGTGTGAACAATAAAGAAGAGGAATCAAGAAGACAGTAGATAACGATTGACATTGCATTTCAAATTTTGTTGCTCAAAGTTCACTCGAAAGCAAGAAGCCGGAAAGAGTTCCACAGGCGAGAAAAGGAACTATTAGCAAAGATCTTACGGGTACATCTAGCCCGTTTAATTGTAAATTGATGAGACCTTGCTGCCAATCTAGTACTGTCCTTAAATTCATAGCTACCATAGAGCGGAGTTCATCAGAACAATTACCCTGAAAGCATTTATAGAAAAGGTGCAGGGAAGCGTCATTAAGGTGGTGGGAAAGTGAGTGAAGCCTGGGTGCCAGGCCAGGATCAATAACATTGTAGATTCTTCTTTGAATTCCATTTAGAATCTCTAAATATATAGCCAGAGCAATGTGGCAGCAATATTCGAAGCGTGAACGAATAGTAGACTTATAAATATGTAAGATAGATTCTGGAGAGAAAAATACCCTAGCACGACAGTGAACGGACGGAGAGTTTGTTCATTATGTCGTTCCAGAGAATTTTTCGCCGCAGACCTAGAAATCCATTCAATATAGTCTTTCCACTTCATGTCAGTAGAAAGTTAGTTTGAAAAGGCACAGCGAGTCACTGTCCTAGAGGTTAGTGATGGGAGGCGGTGTGCGTTCTCTCAGATGACTAATAGAGAGCAGGTTTGTTTTGGAGGTGTTAGCATTGACAAGCCGTTCCTTGTCCCAGCTAACAGTAGATTTTAGACCGCTTTGGATATCAATTGATAATTTGGCCTTATCTAAGTGATCAGAGTTACTATTATGACAGATGTTTAATCATGGGGCAACTGAATGGAACATGTACAAAGCTATTTAAAAAAAAATCCAGAACATCAGTTGGAGATGGTATGCAACGCTTAACACAATTTACAGAGAACTGAGAACAATCTTTCTTAAGCTGAAACAAAAATGATTACAGTTTGCTGACCACTACCACTGAGCGGATAGGCAAATCGTCTCACACTTGCACCTATGGTACCCCTCAGAATGTGTCTTCTCGCGAATATTGCCTTTCCCAGACGCCATAGCTAAGGACTCAGGGATGGACATTGAGATCTAGGGACAGCAATACTGGACCAATCCGTGCGGAAAGGGATTGTCAATGGAGTTTCCACCAACCATAGGGAAGTCAAAGGATGATGATTATGAAATATAAAAGTCCCAACCTTTCAAACATTGATAGAACCAGTTCTACTGTATGGATCAGAAATTTGGACTTTATCTGCTCGTCTTGAAAGAGGACTGGATGGAACATATACAAATCTACTTAAAAAATCCAGAACATCAGTTGGAGATTCCATGCAGCGCTTTACACAATTTACGAAGAACTGAGGCAAATCTGTCTTAAGCTCAAACAAAAAAAAACACTAGAGTTTGCCGGCCACTGCCACCAACGGACAAGGAAATCGTCCCATCTTTACTCATATGACATCCTTCTGGAAGTGTCTTCTCACGAAAATTGTCTTTACCAAACACTATAGCTCGGGTTGTACATTGGGGATCTAGCGACAGCAATACTGGACCGAACAATGTGGGAAAGGAAATCTCAATAAAGTTTCGACCAACCATAGTGATGTGGAAGGATAATGATGATGAAGACAGGTGTAAATCGTTGTATCATCAGTGTAAATACCGGGTTGATTTTGAACTTTTGGGCGCAGCATTCATATTATCTTCCTTCATCTAAGTTTGTGTGTTTTTTGTTGTTTTTTTTAAAGTGATGCGTTTTTTTGAGAACAAAGATTTTGCAATCCAATTAAAATGTTTAAAGATGGCATGTCCATGTTTTCGTGATTTCCTCTTGCACCGTGATTTGAACACCCGATTATTTCTATGCTCCCTCCGTGGGAAGATGAAATAATTTCTTCCTCTGACAATACAGCAATACAAACGTCTTTTGCTTTTTTTTTTATTCAATTTTTTTTTATTTAACTCTCTCCGTTAAATTCGTTCATATCAAGCTGTAAGGTGGCGTAGGCCGTTTTCCTCGAAAGGGAACCATTCCCGACCAATTTTGCATTACTTGCGCATCAAAGAACAAATCCCGTGTCGCGTGTGAAACGCAGCACTACGCATTCTACCGGCGCTCGTTCACGCAAGTTAAATAAATAAATAACCAAAATAATAAAAGATTTCGATCTCTGCTTGAAGGAGTCTTTTTTGCCCGGCATTTTTGCGCGTTATGCAAACTTCTCTACCCACGTCTAAGTGCATGGTTTCGTTGCTTTTAAGAGCTCTTTTGTACGCACCACTATAGTTTCGCAGCCTGAACCTATTACTTGTACTTAGCGCAAGGAAGTTGTGCTGGTGGTTTATGTTTTGGGATTAGGATTCATTTCTAAATTCATAGCTTCGGAAATTCTTAAATTTAACTGAAAATTAATAAAAAGAGCCCAAAACAACAGTACGTTTCTGTCTGGATTTCTATTACGATGAGTTATTATTTGAATTGTTTATAGCATCGTTAATGTCCTCATCTTTGTTTTTACTATCACAAATTTTCGGCTGTTTCACTCTACGACCTTCCTCATATGTCTGTCAGTCTGTTGCTCATTTTTATTGAATAGTTCAAGTGAAGTGGTTATTATTTGCTAATGCTTTTTCTGTGGTGTTTTTGTACCGCCAGATTCTATAAGACCCGACTATGGTGACAGTGACGGCTCATCTTGTGCCAAATTTACCTAGTTTATATGAAAGAGGAAGAAATTGGTAAAGCGCTCGATAGTAAGTTAATCTCGCAGGTCATTGGTTCGATTCCCTATGATTTTCCTATGCTATTTTAGCCCTGTGGTACGCTAACCTTCATTTAACAACTATTAAGTACAATTTATACCGTAGTGTGAAAATTAGCATATTAATCTAGGAGAGCAGTTGTTTGTGCATTAAATGTTACCACCAAATCTGGTCTGGTCCTCCTGTTATATATCTCGAGTTTCATGACAAAATACAAAATGTTTCTAATATCTGTCCAGAGCCGGCATCACAACTTTAGTAGTTATCCCACAATCGTGACGTAGCTTCCAAATGTCTTTTCCACGAAAATATTCATGGAAATTATTCTAATGAGCTCTTCTCCTTGCTACCTCAACCAACTTAATTTCCATACAGGAAAAATTCGGTATCTGTCTATATTTCTGATATGAGGTATTATGTACACTATTTACATTGTTCGGACTATTGTCCTCATCTTTATCGCTATGTTTATCAAAAAGGTTCTGCCGTTGTACGCTCTGGCCTTCTTCAGGTGGTTGGAATGTCGAACTGAAACTTTTATTTCGCTCACTGGGGTAGCCTGTTCTAGTTCCACGTGCCATGTTTAATGGATGTCAGTTATCTCCTGTTAATTCCTCTCTCAAAGTTCTCCACCGCCTTAAACAGGTATTGATCTCACACTCTTTGGGTCCTGTCACTGGATCTAGCCAATGCCTTTATCCACTGTGCCGTGAAATGTATACAATATGGGAACCAGTTATAAGGGGTGCCAGAGAAAAGCGATAATAACAACAAAAATTGCCATATGAGCTCTGAAAAAAAAGATATGATAACAGTAAAAATTGCAATATGAGCATTGGTAAAAAACGGTTGCTGAAGACATTAGGTTTAAAATACCCAGAAATTCATACACAGATGTCCTCAAGGACACATGACCCAGTGAGCGAAATAAAGGGTTCAATTCGACATTCCAACCACCTGAAGAAGGCCGGAGCGTACAACGGCCGAAACGTTGTGATAAACATGGCGACAAAGATGACAATAGTCCGAATAATGTAAATAGGAAAAATTCGGTATTAATTGAAGCTAAGTACCATACCATGAGTGATATCCATATACATTTGAATCAAAAGTTCAAATTCCGGTTGAGAGAGTAGGCGATTACATTGCCTTGAGAAAGGTATAAATACATCCCTTGTGCCACCAGCTATGGGTAAAATAGTTAAGCAAACCGATTCATAAAGCTAACGCGTTCATTTTATGAATTTATTTTCATGTGATATTCGTGGTGTTTCCGTTTAAGTAAAACCATTTAATAAATCATTCAAAATATACCATTCAAGCATCACCCAAGTTCTAAATAATAAAAAGCGAACTAAGGTAAAGGCAATAAAACTAATGAATAAAAAATAATATAAGTAAATTAAGAAGTATAAAAAAGTAACTTTTGTTTTCAGCTTAGAGTTCACGATAGCGTCGAGATATGATAAACTCCAATTTTTCTGCGTTTTTCCCCTCGGGTAAATTCAGCAAGTAATCGCCTTACCGCTTCATTTTTCTCTTAAAGGCAAACGTTTATCAGTGGCCAGGGTTAGATAGAGTTGTAAAGGCGATATTCTTAGTGAAATTGGATTCGGTGAAGGGGAAATGCGAAAAAAAAAAAAGTCGTTTCTTTCACTCGGCAGAAATAAAGAAATTGGAATTGATTTTTAAGAAAAAAAAAATAATAAAATGCATTTAAAAGAATACACACAGCATAAATATTTATTGGTGTACGTGAAGACAATATATTATCTTCATATATATATATATATATATATATATATATATATATATATATATATATAGTCTATGAATCCATTACTTGGTTAAATAAATTACATATATATATATATATATATATATATATATATATATATATATATATATATATATATTTGTATATTTAGGCAGCAATCCTTCCTTTATGCATGTTTCATTAAAACGACAGACAAGGTACTACGGTTGAGCTTTTTATTTAATTTTTCTTGTGTTCTGACAAGAGCTTTCTTTTCTGGACAAACGTCTTACATTACACCATTACACCAGACGTCTTACATTACACCTATCTGATCACAGTTCCATCAGAACACATTTAAACACACACTCAGATTTACCCGACACTA